GTCATGCTCGGGGGCATATTGCTCCAACATATTGTCCAGCCAAGTCACAACGTTTGGGAGGTTTATTTTCTCGATTTCGAGGGTCTTCTTCATCGACCCCTTCTTCGGTTACAGCGGCTGTTACTGATGAGCCTCAACACTCGTCTTATACTCTTCAAGATGTAGAAGTTATTCTCAAACAGGTTATCCATTCCAATTCTGCTATGTCTACTACCGTAGGTAACTCTCATTGGTACTTTGATTCTGGGTGTTGCAATCACATGACCTCTAGTCCACAGTTTTTGTCTTTCTCGTCTTCTGTAACTTCTTTACCTCCTATACATACTGCCAATGGTATCCATATGAATATTACTCACACTGGTCTGGTTTCTTCCCCTTCTTAACACATACTGCATTCCTGATTTGGCCTTGAATCTTATTTCTGTTGGTCAATTGGTTGAACAAGGTCTTAATGTTATATTTTCATCTTCTGGTGTTCAGGTTCAGGATACACAGACGGGTTGGCTTCTCGAGACGGGTCGCAAGGTGGGTCGGTTATTTGAGCTTGAGTCTCTTCATATCCTTCATTCTTCCTCATTTTCTGCTCCTGTCACTGATAATAAGTCCAGCTTTCAGTGGCATCTTCGTCTTGGGCATGCGTCTTAAAATAAAGTCATTCTTTAATTATATAATACAGGTCTTTTAGGTCCAGGTCATTTTGAGTTTTTTAGTTGTCTTCATTGTAAGCTTGAGAAACATTCAGCTTTTTCTTTTTCTGAGAATTTGTCAACTGTTGATAAACCTTTTGATTTGGTACATTCTAATATTTGGGGTCCTTCTCCGGTTGCTTCTATGAATGCTTTTCGATACTTTGATATTTTTGTTGATGATTTTTCTCGTTTTACCTGGATCTATTTTCTCAAAAATCGTTCTGAGTTGTCCACCATATATATTCAATTTGCTAGAATGGTTCACACACAATTTTCTTGTCCTATAAAGGTTTTGCGTACTAACAATGCCCTTGAGTACAAGGATTCTACCTTTTTATAGTTTCTTTATGATCAGGGCACAGTAGTTCAACGTTCCTGTCCTTATACTTCTCAACAAAATGGACGAGCTGAACGTAAGCATCGTCACATTCTTGATACTGTTCGTGCTCTTCTCCTTTCTGCTAAGTGTCCTGATCGTTTCTGGGGTGAGGCAACCTTGACTGCTATTTATACTATCAATCGGTTACCCTCATCAGTTCTTCGCGATATCAGTCCTTTTGAAAGGTTACACGGTCAGTCGTCTGATGAGCCTAGACCTTTTCGTGAGGAGAGTGCTGATCCATTGTGGAAACAAGCTATGGCTGATGAGTTGCAGGCGTTGGAGAAGACTCATACTTGGGATTTGGTGGATCTACCTGCGAGAAAGAAACATATCGGATGAAAATGGGTTTATAAGATCAAGACAACTTCAGATGGTTCCATTGAGTGCTACAAAGCTTGTCTGGTTGCTAAGGGGTACTCACAGGAGTACGACATCGATTATGAAGAGACCTTTGCACCGGTTGCTCGTCTTACTACAGTTCGGTGTTTACTTGTTGTTGCTTCTGTTCGTCGATGGTCTCTTCCACAGTTAGATGTCAAGAATGCCTTCTTGCATGGTGACTTATCTGAGAAGGTTTACATGACTCCTCCTCCGGGGTCCTTGTCCTATGGGAAGGTTTGTCGTCTACGTCGAGCTTTGAATGGTTTGAAACAAGCGCCTCGTACTTGGTATGCCACGTTCAGTTCTGCGTTGTTTCAGCTTGGTTTCACTACGAGTGATCACGATTCTGCTTTATTTCTTCGGCGCTCCTCATCTGGGATTATTATTTTGCTGCTCTATGTTGACGACATGATCATCACGGGAGATGATGTTACTGGTATTTCCAATTTAAAGGACTATCTTCGTCGGCATTTTGAGATGAAGAGTTTGGGCCAGCTTTGCTATTTTTTGGGTCTTGAGATTTCTGATTCCTCTGATGGCTTCTATTTGTCTCAAGCCAATATGCCTCCGATCTTCTTGCTCGGACCGGTCTCACAGATTGTCAAACAGCTTCCACACCTCTTGATTATGATGTTTGTCTTACTCCACTGGATGGCTCTCTTCTTGAGGATCCTAGGTTATATCGTCAGCTTGTTGGGAGTTTGATATATTTGACTGTCACTCGACCTGATATAGCTCATGCTGTTCATATTGTGAGTCAGTTTATGGCTGCTCCGAGAACCACGCATCATTCTGTTGTGTTGCACATTCTTCGCTATATGAAGGGCACTCTATTTCATGGTTTACACTTCTCGGCCCGTTCTTCCTTGACACTTAGCGGTTATTCTGATGCAGATTGGGCTGGAGATCCTACTGATCGTCGTTCCATTACTGGGTACTGTTTCTTTTTAGATGATACACTCGTCTCTTGGCGTAGTAAGAAGCAAACCTTAGTCTCCGGATCGAGTGCTGAGTCTGAGTACCGTGCTCTTGCTGATTCCACCTCTGCGTTATTATGGTTACGTCGACTACTTGTTGATCTAGGTGCACCTCAGTCGTCGTCTACTGCTTTACATTGTGATAGTTATAATGGTATAAAGATGTCTCATAATGATATCTTTCATGAGCGCACCAAGCATATTGAGATTGATTGTCACTTCATTCGACAACATGTTGCACATGGGAGTGTGAAGCTTGTTCCCGTCTCTTCTACAGATCAACCAGCGGATGTCTTCACGAAGTCTCTTTTCACCGGTCGCTTTTGTTTACTTCTTAGCAAACTCAAGTTGATCTCCACGATACCACCTTGAGTTTGAGGGGGGGTTGTGTAATATGTATTCTTATACTATAGGTTAGGTTTAGGCTTAGGCTAAGGTCCATCTATGTATCTATATATGTGTGTACTAATCTTTGTGAATATTACAGCATATATTCTTCCCAAATTCTCACACAATCCTTAGTATAATTAAATTGATCTCGCCTATAATCACATGTCTTACTTGATATGGGATACCATACCCAAGGGAGTGAACATGTCGAGTAGGCCGAGCAAGGCACCTGGTCGAACCGGAACCGAACGGAGTGGTTGTGGCTTCGAACACCATGAGAATAAGATCCTCTGAACTAGAAGACATCGTAAAAGAAATTTCGGTACAAGGAGAGTAGGTCGAGCCAGGACTCTCAGATATCCTTGTTGAAACTTGATATATAGTGACAAATGATCGCCTGAACGACCAAAGACTCAGACTTGAAAATCGTCTGATTGGTGCACACCTTATAACTGCCGTCTCTGACACACCTCCAGTTTGTGTTGTATGATCGAGCAGTTCGGGCAACTAGCTCATCACATCCGGGCAGCCTTCTAGAAGTAGGTACCTCACTCCTATAAATGGGGGCGAGACGCATTATTTTCAGTCATTACATTCATATTACTCCATATTTTCCAGAAACCATCTTCTACATATACTCATTGAAGCATCGGAAGCTATTCACTGAAAAACTCATCCGGTGTGAGAGTTTTTGCAGGTCGAATGCGTTCAACCAGCGAGAGAGCACTCGAGCAAGCCGATTGGAGGTCTTTTCTGTACCATTACTATTTCTTCCTTTTTCTTATAGAAATCTCTTAATTAAAAGATAAAAATAAAAATAAAAACAATCTCATATTTTGCAATTAAATCTTGTATAAGTGGTGATTTTCTACTGAGCAATTAATCCAAAAAAATAGGTTGTTTAAGCCTTCTTCGAGCTTTTTCTTATTTTTTTTTTTTTATTTTGGCAGCTTTAAGAAAATTATTGATTTTATTTATTTCAACTGGTTTAATTAATTTTACTAAATATTTTTATTATATCAATCAATCTTACAGTCATCGACCACAAGCCACGAGTAGAGGTGGCCGAAATCGGCACGGTCCTAGGCGAGTCTAGGACACGACACCAAAAAAATAATTAAAAAACAATACAAAACTTGTTGATTTCTCAGCCTGGACCAGACCCAGCTCGGCCCGTCGGCTAAGGTCGATGGGCTTGACTTAGCTGGGTCCGTGTTGGGCTGGCAGGCCGGGTGGCCCATGGCCACCTCTAGCCACGAGATGTAAGATCATAATGCAATCAGCCCACGTTAAATTTACTCATAACTTACCAACTAATTTATTAAGTATTAGTTAAACTAGTATTTGATCATGTGTACATGCACAGAGGGAAACAAAATTTTATATATAATATGTACGTATATGATATTTAAAAATTTAAATTAGATAAAGTGTGTATTACATTTTTAAATTTTGACTATATGTCAATGTATAATATAAATTATTTAACTTCCATATAAATCGGCTTTTTTTTTTTGTTATTGTATAATTATAATACAAAATCGGAATATTAGTAAAAAAATAATTTAATATTATATATTCAGAAAATTTAAAATTTTGTAAAGTTGTTACAGAATAAAAAATTAACAATAATAAAGTTTTACTTGTGTAACTGTCATTTAAATGGTAGTCATAAAGATTTTTATTCAATGTTGAACATATTTTTATTAAATGAACTCATATTATTATTAATTGTTGCTAAATAAAATTTATTAAAATTTGTCCGCAGTTATATATATATATATAGAGAAAGGATCATATGAGAATGACTCTTAATGCGAGAAAAGAGAATGAGTCTAGATCATTGGATCCAATATATTAAGGGTCTTGATCAAGTCAAATATTAAATGTGGCAGTCAAACATGAGTGGCAGTTTTGTAAATAAGTGTATAATCTTTGGTCAGATATTTACATTTGACCACTAACTAGGGACAAATTGGTCATTAAAATACAATCACCCAACCAACACCACGTGGGGCCCACTCCTTCATTAACAAGTCCTCACCCTCTCTCACACACTAACACACACTTAGATAACCTTTTACTCACACGCAACACACACAAACTTCTGCACACACAAACACACTCTCTCTCCTCTCTCCTCTCTCCGGTCTCCCTCTATTCTCTCTTTCTATCTCACCCTCACTCCCACTCTCTCTTCACGACAATCGCCGGCCGCTCACCACAACCCGACCACAGCTCGTCGATTCCAACACCACAGCCCGACCACAACTCATCACAGCAACAAGAGGTCCGTTGCGCCTTCGTCCGCCACCAGCAACACCCCCTTTCCTCCGTCTGCCGCCGTCCACCACCAGCAACACACCCTTCCTCCGCCTGCCGCCGTCCACCGCCGACCGCCATAGCCGACGAACACCTTGCTGGCATAGATCTGGCCTTCTCCAGACACCATACCCGTCTTTCTTCGTTATCGCCGGAGGCCCACCCCGTCAATATGCTCTCGCCGGAATCAGACCAGCCACCGCCGTGAGCAATCACGTCACTGTCCAAACACCACGACGCGACGACGTACACCGGAGATCTTCATCTGGTCGAGGCGGTGGTGGCAGAGCTCGATATCCATGCTCTTAGTCGACAACATCGAGGTCGACGGAGAAGATGACAGTGGAGTCGGGAGCGGGCGCCGTCGCTCCGATGCGGCAGCGGGTATACAAGCTCAGGCCCATGGCGACGCCGGCTGCGACGCCGACAATGGTGCCGTGAATTTTGATGGGCGATTTGAGATGGTGACGGGAGGGTGTTTTGATTTGGGGGGAGTTTCTTTGAAAATTAGATGACATTTAGGGGCATATTTGCAATTTTAATATTTTTAGTATATTTCAATTTAGGTCATGGATACAATTTGTAATTAATAAATCTTAATTGATATTATAATATTTTTCATTTATTTTATGTTGGCTGGATATAGTTGATTTTGTGCATTCCGGTACTCAATTATGTGCAATACGTATAGTCATAATGTGCAATCGCAACACGTAAAAACTGTAGATAAAAAAATAGTGTTATTTTTTTCATATAGTTTGACATGTTTGGTTATTCTGTATAAAATCGGTAATATTTTTTTTATATAGTTTGACATGTTCGGTTATTCTGTATATTTTAAAAAAGTAAATCCGACATTTAACTAACCAATATTATTTGATCGATTATCATAATTAATGTACTTTTTGTATGAAAGCGTGTTGTTTTATAAAGTGCAACATTATATGTTAAAAAGTGCAACATATTGTTGTATAAAGTGCAACGTACTAATATATAAAGTGCAATACAAATATATATATATATAAAATCGGTAATATTTTTTCATATAGTTTGACATGTTTGGTTATTCTGTACATTTTAACAAATTAAATCCGACATTTAACCAACCAATATTATTTGATCGATTATCATAATTACTGTATTTTTTGTATGAAAGCGTGTTGTTTTATAATGTGCAACATTATATGTTAAAAAGTGCAACATACTGTTGTATAAAGTGCAACGTTCTAATATATAAAGTGCAATACTGAAATTTTGGTAAGCTAGCATACATGTTTTTATTTTATTTTATTTTTGTATTTATAATTTTTTTTGTTAGTATTTATAATTTTTGTATTTAGTGTTCTATATTATTATTCTAATTAACGTCATCGTGCATTTGTCATGCTAAGGTGCAATATCACTAACACAAAAGTGCAACCCGTCAGCCAATAATGTGCAATGTGTCCAATAACGTTTTAATATTTATATTATTTCATTTAATATTTCAAATTAATTTTGAAAATAATATAATATATGATGTATAAAGATATTTAAAAAATAATATATTTTTATACATTTTTAAATATTTAAAGCCATTAAATTACCTCTTCAATTAAATTACCTCTTCAATTCCAGCTTTTTGACCACATTGATTAAAGTGCAAATATATTTTTAAATTACCTCTTCAATACAAGCTTTTTAGTATTACATATTTGACCACATTCATTACATTAAAATATTTGCAATTCAGTCCCTGAGAATAATCTAATTCTCATAATCAAGCAACTCAAATTTGCCACAAATCCGCCCGTGATTCCGTCAACCTCGGCCGTTCTCTGCCCCACCCAACCTCGCGACGAGAAAGAATGACGTCCACGATGGTGAAGGAGGACGGTCGGAGATGCATCCACCATATACACGTGCAGCCGGTCGAGCTTTGATGCGGAGGAATGTGACAGAGACGTGACGGGCAGTGGCTGACGGAGGGGAGGACGACGATGATGAGAACTCTGTCGCCGGACCAGACGGCGGCGTTAGGTGGCCGGTCGGAGCAGCTGAGAATAATGGGGTGCGGATGAAGGTGTGACGGCGACGGACCGACTGTATGGCAGCAGATCGATGATGACGGGCGGCGGAAACAGTTGCAGCTGCGGACGGCGGTGGTGGAGAGCCGGCGACGAGAGCTCCATCACGTACAGCGGCGGATCAGAGCTCCATCACATACGGCGGCGCGGCGGCGTGGCGGATGTGCGGCGACGTCTCCGTCGGTGAGGCATGACGCCGCCGGAAATCGGGCGTCTGATGGTGGCCGGTGTGCTGTTCATCCTCTCTATGCGTGTGTGTATTTGTGTGTGTGTAGTGTGCGTGAGAGAGAAATAAAAAAAAAAAAGAAAAAGAAAAAAGAGATGGTTATGGTGAGTGGGTGACAGCTGAAGACGTGTGTCATTACAGTGGGGTCCAGTGATTTGGATGTTTTGTATGTGTAATGTCTATAATACCCTTAATGAATGTAAAAATATTGTCATTTTTTAACCATTAGATCATCCGATCTAATGGCTACGACTTATTCTCATTTCTCGCATTAAGAACCATTCTCATGTGAACCCAACCCTATATATATATATATTAACTTAGCCGATTTATTAGAAAACTACACTTTATTAGTCATATTTATACAGAGTTGGTCAAAAGATTCCTTCCTATGTCATCTCGATTGGACTTCACTTGTCACATCGAGTAATTAACGGAATTTATTATTATTTTTTTCTTCAATTAGAACCGTCATTACAAATCTGAATATATATATCATCGTTTTATTTATTCCTTGAAAAGCACACGGACACAGGGCATGGGTAGAGAGACGTTCAGAGCGTATTTGTATACACAAATTTTCATTCAAAATCTCATTAATTTTAAAATCTAACTCAATTTTTACTCAATTTTGATATCTTCAATATTATCAATATAATCAAATAATATCGTTCAATCGTTCTTACACATCACATCTACTTTAATTCACTTTTTATCTACTCACATAACTTTAACTAGTCATCACTTTATATCACCTCTTTTACTTTTAAATCAAATCAATTTTAATTATTTTATTCTAAATATTGTTTTACGGTTTTGCTATGGAGCAATCGGATGGCTCAGCTTATGAAGTCATCCATAGTTATCCACAAATGGCTCCATAAGGTTATGAATGGCTCCATGAGGGAGCCATTCGATGGCTCCATAAAATTACTGGTTTATTTTAATATAAATTCAAAATTTCACTAACAACTAACCATAACATCTTTTTCCAAATTAACTTTATTTAACTAAAAAAATCTACTTTGAGTGAAAATTTTTGTATACAAACATGATGGTCCTTGGCCCGACGGGTCGGCCAATTTAACTCGAAAAAAAATAGGGTTAAGATCCTTTATTAATAGCCCGTTTAAATCAAGGCTTTTTAGGCCCAAACTGTTTAGCCCGAAGCCCGCTAGGACTAGGCCAAAACTGCTAAGGGTAGCCCGTTTAACTTTGATTAAGCGGTGTAAATGCTTGAAACATGTAAGGAATATGCCCCATGATTACTTATATATTACAATTTTGAAAGATAATTATTAAAATTTTGTTATTCTGTATTTCACACCAAATTATTTAAGCCAATAAGAACGGCTAATAGGAAACACATGAGACAAGTACCTAAAACACATTGAACTTATTGATAGAATATAAATTCAATAGTATGATACAATATCGTGAAAATTCCCAAAGCTTACAAAATAAGTGTTGAATGGTAATTACAAGTAATAAATTGAACATTTTTTTCGTTTGAGCAAAAATATGTTATTTAAGAGTTTGGTAGCACCAAAGAAATGATAAGTAAAAACTATAAAATGTTACATAAAAACTATAAAATATTACTATAGACAATAGGTAACACAATATTGGCGCTGCAATTATTTATGCTACGATAAAGTCAAAGGTAATATTTTTGGTATTTTTTGGTAACATTTATATGATTTTGCTAATTTTTGGTAACATTTATGTTAAAAGTACTACAATAATATGATAGATAAACCAATAATATGATACATTTGTAAAATATTACAATAAATGCTGCTACTTAAAGTCATTTATGTTGTAGTATATAGAATGATAAATACTAAATAGCCTTTGAAAACAATCGTTAATTAGAGGTTGTAATATATAATTATTATTATTGTTGTTGTTGTTACCCGTTTATCCCGAGCCTGCTGGAGTTAGGGTTAGGTCTCTTTAGTAGTAGTCTGTTTAAATTTGAGTTTTTTTAGGCCCAGACCATTTAGTTCAAAATCTATTAGGGCTAACTCGAAATTGCTAGAGTTAGCCGTTTAACATCTCTAGGCATGGGCATAACTCATCAACATGATAAATTGCTTATGAAATATAATACAGTATATTAGTATGTTGTACCGATTATTGATAAGTATTCTTGAAATATACAGATTGGAATTATTTTCTTTTATGTGGTTGTGTGATTGGAAACAACAATTTTGTTTTCGGTTTAAATTTCATTTCATTGGAGTTGAAATCGTAACAACTTCTTTTTTTTTTTTTTAAATAAAAAGTTAATTCATCTCCTCTTTCTATTTGTCTACAAATTCCACTAACTCATCAAAATATATATAAAAAAAATCATTATTACATATTTCCAACAAAAGACGCTATTCATTTATTTCTATATTTCTAACTTTCAAGCTTTGATATTTTGTTGTTTTTATATCATATCAGTTGGACTCATTGCATTTCTAGATCTATATCATACTATCACATTTTTCTCATTTTTTTTTTCTATTTTCGGATCAAACAAAAATTTCATACCCAATTGGCAGTGGCCTTTCAAATTATTTTTGCTTAATATTGCTATATGTAAAATCTGCTAAAATAATAAATCAATATATAAGTTTGCTATTAGTTGTTTTGTTTCTTTTCCATACTTTGATCATTTCTTCTATTTCTTATACTTTCATTATTTTCTTTGATTCTTTCAGATTTTTATATTTACACGAACTTAAAAAATAATAATTTATAGTACTAAGTAATTATAAATAGAAAATCCATTTAAAAACAGCAGTTAATGCTAAAATAAGTCAACATGTATTTTTTTATAAAATAGGAATAGTATCAAACAATTGTACAACGTATAAAAAAAGAGAAAAAAAAAAAATGTTTCACTTTTAAATTCCCAATCTACAAAATAGCTGGGCGAAGTACGT